GAGCATTTCCAAATATCTATTAGCCATATTCACCAAAATATGGCATTCAGGCAAGACCCCAGATGATTGGAATAAATCCACAATCTGCAACTTTCCCAAGAAACTTCATCCTTCATCTTTCGCAGACTATAGGGCCATTGCTCTCACCTCCACAGTCTCAAAGGTGTTCATGGTGCTCCTGAAGAACAGAATTCTTGATTCTACCAAAAACCTCCTTTCAAGCAATATTTGCGCATACAGACCAAATAAGAACATCAACGAACCCATCCTAGCTCTTAAAATCTATCTACAGAAGTGTTTTAGATATAAACTTCCTTTTATATTTACTTTCATAGACTACAGCAAAGCCTTCGACAACGTGAAACACAATGCCCTCTGGGAGACTCTAGAAGATTGCAATATCGATCCAAACATAATTAAAATTTTGAAATACCATTACAATAACTCTTGGGCCAAATTACAGCTAGGACAAACTTTCTCACCTTACTTCAAGATTAAAAGAGGGGTAAAACAAGGCTGTGTACTATCACCTATTTTGTTCAATATAATCATAAACAAAATTATAAAGGAAACCACGAACACCATGAACCTAGTTGATATATCATCAAACAATAATAATATCAATCACCTAAGAATCATCTCATATGCAGATGATCTAGTTTTAATCACCAAATCAAGAGATGAGACAATAGACTTACTAACAAGTTTATGCTTTCATAGCAACAAAGTAGGTTTAACCATAAACTTTAATAAAACGTTTATTATGCCATCCCCAAAGGCGTCTATAAATAACTTAACATTTGAGGGAAATGAAATTAAAATAGTTAACAATTTTAAATATCTTGGCGTACTTATCGATAATAAAGGAAATATCAGCGGTGAAATCGAAGCCCGACTAAAAAACGCCAAAATAACCTTTATGAAATATTACAAACTATGGACAGCGAGAGAGATCTCAGTCAAAACGAGGCTCCGAATTTTTAACGCCACAGTCATTCCAGTCCTCCTCTACGGCAGCGACACTTGGGAAATAAATAAATCTCAGACAAAGAAAATACAAGTTTTCGTAAACCGCTGTCTGCGCCAGCTCAACGGTATTTTCTATCCAAGAATAATTTCGAATGCCAGCCTATGGCGAATCTCAAAAAATGTCCCGATCGAGACTACTCTCAAAAAAAGGCACATTCAACTCTTTGGTCACACCATCAGAAACTTCAGACAAAACATAGTCCATGAAGCTATAATCTGGCTCGAGTCTCATGAAGGTAAAACATACGGTAAATACAAGTCATATTGGCTATACAGAACGATAAAAGAAATCATAAGCCTAAATCTAACGATGGAACAATTCATACGTTTAAACAATAATAAAAGCTCAATAAAAAAGCTTCTAAAAATCAAATCGGGCTACCTGCTCCCTCCAAATCTCTTAGCCCCCCCAGCAACATAAGCACCACTTTCCTCCCGCCATGGTAAACATACATTTATCTATTTGTTTATAAAACTCTTCATGTACCTACCTTGATATAATTATCCAAAATATACTTAACTCACTAATCTTAATATTCTCAAATAGTAAGGCAGATTTATTTAAAAAAATATATCATATTTTTACTATATAAACAAATTCAATATAGACCATAAACTTAAAATCTACCAATACCCCTCCCTATAATTTACATTTTACTTAATCGGGTACGGGCTTTTCTCTCTCTTCTTATTTCCCGTAGGCGTTTAAGCAAGTGGTTTCGCCTCTTGCGCGCACAGGTAACTGCAGCCTGCCCAAGAACTGTGGATGGGCTCATCTCATAGGTTACCCCCAAATTTCTTAACCCAATTAGATGGGATGAGATAGTCCAAGCGTAGCTCTGCTGTTTCATATAGCGATAAAGGGTAATTGCGCTTATTATGACGTATGACGTAAAAATATATTTAAAAAAAATCAATCAAAAAAATATATTTAAAAAAAAAATATATTAAAAAAAAAATATCAATCAAAAAATATATTGTAACAAATTAAAAATAAATTTAAAAAAATTTATTAAAGTAATAATAAATTAATCTCAAATAAATAATAAATTAATCTCAAATAAATAATAAATTAATCTCAAATAAATAATAAATTTATTAATTTGTAAAATAGAATACATTGCCTGATTTAACCCGGCAATGTATACTTTGCCGAAATAACAAAATTATCCTGCCTACCACTACATTGCCGCTAACATATATAAAAATAGTAGTAATAGTAATAAAAATAAAGTTGAATTAAATAAAAGATTTCAAATATATTTTTTTGGTTTTTTTTTACCTGCCTTCCATGAAAATAACAGTCACCTATAATAGTAAATATTCTTTTATATGTTTCATAATCCTTTCTATTGGTCAATATATATATGAGAGGTAAAGCATTATTATTTTTAATCACATGAATTGTATAAATTTGCGTAAATAAAGGTGGCGACGATTTAAATGTACCATCAGAAAACCAATGTTAGCATGAAGCTAAGAAGTCCAAATTTTTTCTTGTTTCAAATATGATAACACGATCGGGAACCTAGCACACATGATAAATAAATAAGCAATTATAATAAAGTGTTTCTTATCGGCCAGCTTATCGCAATAAAAATGAAGGATTTAGTTATATTTGTTCAAATTTATAGAAAATCTTACCGGACCATCATCATGAAGTATGAAATACTCATACTTATCTGTAATTGAATATTCATGCGGGATTACCGCATCAATAAGCTTGCTAGGATTCGGAGATGCAAAACTGTTTGAACTCCGCGCTCGGTGAATTATACGTTTCATGATTCGGTGATGGTAGTGCTATTGGTATGAAATCACTTGATTGAGATACGTGTTTCTCCACAATAAAGTTTGAAGTTTCCATAGTATTATTCAAAGCTTCATTCTTAATTAAATTGATTATTTTCTTGGTTTCCATTTCGATTGGATTTCTGGATGATTGTGTATTTCTTTATTATCTTTTATCTTACCATTTTTTTTTGTAAGTCGTACGGGACATTTAAATATATCTTGATTAAGGCATCTATAATAATTTGTATCTGAGACTACTTTATGCAGGCGGAACAAATAATTTTTAAAGGTTAGGATCTCCTTATTTTTGCTTGATAACATATTTTATAAGACTCCGAAATAAAGAGGAAAGAATGGCGAAATATTTAATATTTATAACCAAAAGAATGGCACCAGCCAGACGAGAAATTTTTTTTTTAAATTTCGGCAATACTTTTTTTTTATTAGTTATAATTTATCAAATATGTCATTAATTATTTCTTAATATTTAGTGTAGCTATTTTTTTTATTATATTTTAAAATTATTTAAGATTCACTAAGAAGTAAGAACCCATATCAAAATATTATATTTAAATTAATTGAAATTAATGCCGAGATATAAAATTTTTATCACCCCCCCCCTCCTCCAAATAAACAGAAAAGATAAAAAGATATCTATAAAGATCGTAAAATAATAAGATTAATAAATATTTTAAATTGGGGAAATCCCTTATTTCACTTAGATGTAATTCATTCATTTATTCATTACCACGCCTAAAAATTGCACGAAGTGCAATTTCATCACCCACCAGGAGTTGGGCGTGCACCAAGTATATTCACTAGTATATAGATCCTATACATGATGTATATCTGTTTTATTATAGTGGACGGTACCACTATGTAGCCAGCTAGCAAAGTGAAGAAGGGAGAAGTACGAAAGTGGTGATGTATTAGTTCCGTTACTGGCAGAATAGTGTTATGAAATATAATGTCATGTAATAATGTACCTGAATCCTGATATGGTTATTTAGTGAGGCAACAAAAAAACAATAATAACTCTTATATCTTGGTGAGTATTGAGAGTTTACGTTAAGTTTGCATGATGAGTCCCTTCTTTGTTTGTTGTTCGGTGTGTCGATATCGCGTGTCCTGTAGACCTTGTACGCGCTGTGCAAATGATATTTGGGTTCGTCGGTGTTATTGCGTTATTATCATAACCAGTGTTCGTTATCATTATCCATTATTCTATTTGTTATTGTTGTAGCTGTTGTCGTTATTGTCGCCGATATCGTGTGTCCAGAAAAAAAGTCGTGGGTTCATATGAGGAAAGTTGTGTTGTCCAGATTATTATCATCATCAAACATGCTTTGTTCTAGCCATTGCAAGAAAAGAAAAAGGAGAGAACGGTTCCTATTTTAATTTAGGCCATATTTTAGCATGTATTTTAGGTGTTTCTTGTTCTTGCTGAGTGCCATGAAATTTGCAAACGAGAGGTTGATAAGATCCATATCCTTCAAACATTTCGCCAACCAATAGTATTTAGGGGTACTTTTCTTCCCACCGTCAGGAGACCATTTCATGGACGAGAATATCATATTTTCCTGCGAGTGTTTTAAGCTATGGCCTAGTAATTCTAATCTCCTCATGGGAATGAGTCGATTGATTGGTAGGATGTCGCATCTATTCAATTAGGGACTTAAAGAGTCTTATTTATAAATTAATTGATATTTGGTTGGATGACCATAATTTCGACAGTTGATGATACCGGAGTCTAGCATTATTAGTTCTCAACTTCATATCTAATATTGTGAAGCCTAATGATATTATCTTGGTTCCTAGGTATTTGAAATCTGAAACTAATTCTATCGTATTACCCTCAATGTTAAAGGGGTTTAAGTTACTCGTATATGTATTTGAGGTGATAAGCTTGGTTTTTGTATTAAACTCTTAATCCATATTCATAACAGTTGTTGACAAATAATAAAAAAATATTTCTTATCTTGTATTCCGAGTTAGTTAATATACACACGTCGTCGGCATAACATAGAAAATTTAGAGAGTTATGCATGTCATTGTGGTGCTGTTGATCCCTGTAATGTGGGTTGAGTGCATATTCTTGTTTAAAGGATTTATTTAGGATATCATTCATTATTACATTAAAAATAATAGGCGAGAGAATGCATCCTTGTTTAAGGCCCCTAATTTGCTTTAAAAGGTTGTGATTTTACATTTAGATGTTGAGGTACTACGCTATTATTGTCATAAATTATCTTAATCAGCGATATCAGATGCTTATCTATTCCTCTGTTTTCCAGCAAGGGCCATATCTTGTGCTGTATAATAGAACCGAAGGCTTGACTTAAATCAATCATTAGGGCAAAGATGGGGGATTTATGCATTCTAGCCTTTTCCAGAATAACTTTAAGTGCCATAGTCAACTCCGTAGTATTTCTACCCTTCCTGTATGATGTGATAGTGTTAGAGAGGAACCTGTAGATGATTGGTTTAATCCTGACAGATATGATGTATGTGAACATTTTTAGGGAAACTGGAATCAGTGCAATACCTCTGTAATCCTTAAGGCTGTTTGGGGTCTTGTTTTTAGGGAAGTTTAGTATTATTGATGTCATCCATTCGTCAGGAAAATTACCCGTATTCCATATCTCCCTAAAGAGGGGAAGTAGTAAACTGGCACTTAGGTCTACATCTATCTTCCAGAGTTCTGCAAAGATCCCATCGACTCCAGCAGCTTTATGCATTTTTAGTCGTTTAATGGCACCGATTATGTCCAACTTGTTCAGGTTCTGACTGGGTGATTGGAAAGGGTAGTCACATATAGGTCTGGGCCACCTCGTTCTGTAGAGATTCATGTCTATTCATATGTCTAATTGTTCCTTTGGATAAGTTATAATCTTATTGTTATTTAAGTGTAGTCTTGGTAAAGGATTGGTCTTGAAGGTGGTGAGTAGTTTAAGAGATTGGAAAGCCTTATAAATGTTATTGTTATCAAAATTGAATTAAATAGATTTAGATAAATTAGCGATAAACAGCCTTTTGTCGGCCCTTATGCGGTGAGTAATGTACCTCCTGTGAAGTTTAGCGTATTGGTAATGGGATATATTTATTGTTAGGTTCTTAATTATTTGTATAGTCGAAGGGGTGAGTCACTCTCTGCATTTAATGCGTGGTCTTAAACATGATGTAATACTAACTAATAAATTCAGCTTAATGTCCTTCCAGGTCAGATTTGGGTTAATCATGCCATTTAATGTATTCCTCTATGTTTCTAATTTAGTGACGAACTCTTCCTTCACCTCTAAGTCATTGAGCTGTGCCAAGTCTTTTCTGGCTATGAATCTTACACTGGTGAAACAGTTCTGTTTAATGTGATTTGGGAAAATGCTATTGTTGATTCTGAGTTCACAGCCCAGTGGGTAATGGTCTGTAAAAGGTGTAAGGTTTAGTTTACTGATTACTCTGATGTCTCTTACCTACTTGAAGATCTTTGTGGAAATTAAAGTAATCTATCTGTGAGGTAGTGTCAAAGGAAGGACTCTTGTAAGTCATGATGTGATGAATAGGATGCTTGAAAAACGTATTTCCAATTTTCATGTTGAATACTTCACAGATTTCTATTAACCTTTTACCGTTGGGGTTCGTACTTTGTACTAATGCGGCGTTTCCAAGGAAGGAAGAATTATTAGGTTTGCCTACCGAAGCATTGAAATCGCCTGCTAAGATGATACCATCCCGACACGGTAGTTCCTTTAAGATATTTCCCAATTCCATATAAAAAATACTATCATTGTGAGGTGCGTATACGTTAAACAAATAAAATTTTTTGTATCCTAAGTTTAAGGTAAGGCAGCATATTCGACTGGAGATTGGGTTGAAGCTTACGAATTTTATTAATTTATTATGTATTAAAATCGCCACCCCAGCCCATACGTGTTCAGCATTCGAGCTGCAATATAAGGTATAATCTAAGAGGTTCCTTACTTCAGTTACTTTAAGGTGGGTTTCACTTGCCTAAGTATAGTTAATTTGTCATACAGGGATCTTATATTTAAAGAGATCATTTTAATACTGTGGTCCTTCATTGAAAATTTTTAAAAAATTTATTATGATTACCGTGCCGATTCTGTAACAGAGAGAAAGGAAAAGAGATAAAAGTAATATATATATTCATTTCAATTATGTCATTATGATGTAAATATAGTTTATAAAGTTTCATTACTTATTTGTATGCTGCCTACAAGATATGTGATAATCCTTATCGGAGATAAAGAGACCAAACTATATATTCATTTTTCATTTTTTGTGCTACTCATAAGATATATTCCGGATGATATCCTTGGTTTCAAATATTGTAAAAGGGGAGGGCAGGGCCATCCGATCAGGTTATTATCTTATATTATAAGGTATTTAGAAAACATAAGCATCAGAGTGGAATATTGATTTACTCGTTATATGTTATATTTAATAGTATAAAGGGGAAAAGGAAAAAAATTTTTAACCGGATTTTTGAAGAAATTATATTCAATATAAACTTAATTTTTATTAGAATACAAGATATATCAAACCATTTATCAACTAACAGGTAGTACGGGTTTGGGACTTTGCTAGTTTTTAAGGTTAATGAAGCAAGATCAATTATTTTATTTCTATAATTCATTCCCTTAAATTTAAAAATTGCCTAACTTAGAACATATATTCAAGACAGGGTGAGAGACTATCTAATATATGCAACTGAAATTTAAAAGTTTTATCTCTATTAAGAAGTTTGGGATGGAGTTATAGCCAGGTAGGAGTTTTGGCTCAACCTGAAACCCCCCTCTATGGTTCCCTACTGGAAATCCGTGTGTGGTTCTAACTATGCTGCTATCTAATTATAGTTGAGTGTTATACTACATAACGTATAAGTTACCAGTTAAAGTAAGGTTAATTATGAAATTTATTTAATCTTTTACCTATATCTTACAGAGAGTCCGCCTTGTAAGAATAGCAATCACACACGATGATAGATAGATTATATATAAGAATTATTAAGAATTGTTTCAAAAAATTCAATTTATATATATATATATGGTATCTAAATTAAAAGAGTATAGTATATGATAATAGATTAAATGAGTATTTGAGTAAGTTTCATATAGTAATTTAGCAGAAAGAGATGAGAGGTTTTTTTTCCTAATTTCTTTCCTTTTCTCTCCTTATATCCTTTTTTTTTTGGAAAATAATAATCTATTATTTTTATTATTTTTTCATAATGCGTTTAAAATTATAACTAGTTATCTACACATCAATAATTAGATTATGAAACTAGTAAGAAAGATTCCTCAAAAAAAGGGAAGCAAAAGAACATAATGTGAAATAAAAGAAGTAAATATATGTTTCATTTTCAAAAACAAGGGAGAAACATAATGAGACAAGAAAGAAAAATAATAAATTTTCCAACGAAAAGAAAAGAACATAATAAGGCAAGAGAAAAAACATATATATTACATGAACAAAAACATAAATCACACCTAAAAAAGAAAGAAAAAGTTATGCAAAGGAAAAAAGAACTTCGGCGCCGAAAAATTTTTTTTTATTAAACATAAAGATTTTCTAAATAAAAATTTAAGAAATTTTTTTTTTCCTTAATTACTTTTTGAGAAAGTTTTAGGGGGTCATGGGGAAAGATTAATATAGTATATTTTAAAATATTAATTTTAGAAGTTAATATAAAACTTTATTTTTTTTTATTATTTTTTTTTTGTATTCTTTTTATTGTATTTTTATTATTTTATTATTTTTTATTTTGTTATTATTTTTTTGGAGAGTTTTTATCCTCACGATATCATTCAAGGGCTTCCATTTTTTGAGAAAAAATGTTAAATAATATAATGCTGAACGTCTAATAATTAAGCTGGAAAAACAACTTAAGAGAATGTTAAATAATATCATGATAAACGTCTAATAATTATATAATGTAAAATTCACTAAATTTAGTAAATGTGAAGTTAGACAAACATTTAAGAGAATGTTAGATAATATAATGTTAAACATCATTAATATAGTTTAGAAACCTAATAGAAATTTACTAAAATTAGCATATCTGAAGCTAAAAACATTTAAGAGTTTATAAAGGATCAAAAAGTTAACTAGAGCGGAAAGAATTTAAATTAAATATACCTTAACTATATAGTGTCAAATGAAAAGGGATTTTTGATTTGGAAGAGTTTTGTTAATGTTATTATATATACTAATCAAATATTCTTTAGTTTGATATTTAAAACACACTATTAACAATGTATTTTTTCACCACTAATTAAAAATAGATTCTGAAAGCGGATGGGGGGGGGGGAAATACTGGCCTGTTCCAAGTATTAATTCAAAAAAATTTCTCACAAGGTCAAAAACGAATTTTAAAATTCATAAATAAAATAAAATAAGAAAATGAAGTAAAAAAGATCATGGCTGCCAGTAAAAAACGAAGTTTAAGCTTCTTGAGTGGGTTATAAGTTAAGTAGAAAGAAAAAAATTTTGGAACTGAAAAAAAAAATATATTTGATATTAAGATTAAACTAGGAATAGATTAAAGTAAGTTACTCTATGCTGAGAGATTTCAGTTTATTATTATAAAATGATTAAATTAACAAATGTTAACCGAGAAATTATCAAAAATGGTAGCAAAAATAATATTAAATGGTAGCAAAAAATAGTGCCAAAAAGGTAGCAAGAAAATAAACTAATATAAAATTAATAAAAGATGGAGAGCTTGATTTAAATTATTAAAAAACAGCTAAAAAATAAAAAAAAAGGGGATAAATTAGTAAAATGGTATCCGGGAGATAATATATTATTCTTAATAAGCATCTTGGTAAAGGGGAATTGAGGATGAAAGTAACAAGGGAATAGATAAATCCAGGCTTAAAGGTATAAAGCCCAAACAAAAATGACTAATAAATAAACAAACGCATTGTAAACTAATCTTAAAACTATGACATACATTTTAGAATTATATGCTAAAGTTTAAGGTCCAGTAGAGAGTTTAAGTTTCAGGGATGCAAACAAAACTAGTCACAAAAACCTAATGCAAAAGGGGATAATTCCTAGTGTGCGATATAATGATTAGTTTCCATTTAAAGCATAAAAACAAAAATGAAAGTTATATATATGAAAATATAGCAAAAAAATATTAAAAAAAATATATTCATGAAAGTACATGATAATCTGGAATATAACAAAAAAGATAATATACTTGAAAGAAATAATTCACGATAAAGTTAATGATAACCTGGAATACATCAAAAATAAATACATGATAACCTGAATCTTGATATTTCAGCATACATTAAGGTTTCAAAAATGCATAATCAATCACATTACAATTTGTTCTAAGATCCAAACTAGTGTTGTTAAATGCTTGTTTTGAGCTGGTTATAAATGACAACCCAACTTGATGTATAGGTGATTTTTATTTTTGAATTGCAATTCAAAATGGGTATGACTAAATACTGCCTTGCTAAACTGCCTAGCTAAAATGCCTTGCTAAAAAGCAATTAATCATAATCAATCATAATTTGATTATATAATATCTTTTAAAAAAAATTTTTCAAAAACATTTTTTTTATTTTACATAAATCAATTTTTAATTAAGTAAAAAATTGATATTAAATATCAAAATTCTATTTTTACTTAATATTATTGGAAAAAAAATATATTTACTAGCTTATTACAACTTAAATTTTATTTTTCAATTACAATATGTAACAAATTAATATCCATAAGAGGGCGTTAAATGTATAAATATGAAAATATTTTCTTAGGAAACCAGAATAAATATTGGATAGCGCTTTTTTTTGTATTTGGGTGTAAATACATG